TAAACAGCAGCTTCAGGATTTGGGTTTTTTTTGTTGTTTGGTTAAAAAAAACAAGCTAGTGTTCTTTTTCCAGAATTCACTGAGAGATTCTTAATAACAAGTCAGATGTTAACTTTTTCAGATCATATCCTTGAGTTCTACAAGGAGAGAGTAAACCTGTTAAAGGCTGTTAGACTGTTAACTGTTAACGCTAGTAAAGATACCTTACCATCCATCATATGCCCAGAGTCCATTATAAAATGCCAGACCGACAGAGCTAACAGAAATTTTACTGTCCTTGAAAGAATCTTTAAAGTTCTCAGTTTTTCCTGCAAATAAGATGTAGATTACTAGTCAGTGTTGAAGTTAATTCCTTTAATCCTCACCAGATGAAGACACATTCCAACATGTCTCATTTTGAAACAGCTCACTGTTAAAATCAGTTAATACCAATTTTTATTAATTGATTGGTAGTGTTGCATTTCCTATCCACACCCCTTCTCTGAAAGAAAAATCACAGAATTTATTTGGTTGGAAGAGCCCTCTGGGATCATCGAGTCCAACCTTAGCCCTAACACCACCATGGCACTAAGTGCCATGTCCAGTCTTTTCTTAAACACCTCCAGGGATTGTGACTCCACCACCTCCCCGGGCAGCCCATTCTAATGCCTAACTACCCTTTCTGTGAAGAAATGCTTCCTCATTTCTAGCCTGAACTTCCCCTGGCGCATTTTCAGACTATGCCCTCTTGTCCTGTCATGACTTGCCTGGGAGAAGAGGCTGACCCCACCTCACTACAACCTTCTCTCAAGTCGTCGTAGAGAGCAGTCAGGTCTCTCCTCTGCCTCATCTTCTCCGGGCTGAACACCCCCAGCTCCCTCAGCCGCTCCCCATCAGACTTGTGCTGCAGACCCCTCACCACCTTTGTTGCCCTTCTCTGGACATGCTCCAGCACCTCCAGGTCTTTCTGGTAGTGAGGGGCCCAAAACTGGACATAGGACTCGAGGTATGACCTCACCAGTGCCAAGTACGGAGGGACAATTACTGCCCTGGTCCTGCTGGCCACACTATTGCCGATACAAGACAGGATGCTGTTGGCCTTCTTGGCTACCTGGGCACACTGCTGGCTCATGTTCAGCCAGCTGTTGACCATCACCCCCAGGTCTTTTTCCACTTGACTGCTTTTTAACCACTCTTCCCCCCAGCCTGTAACGCTGCATGAGGCTTTTGTGGCTGAAGTGTAGGACCCAGCACGTGTTCTTGTTGAACCTCATGCCGTTGGTCTCGGCCTACCTATTCAGCCATAGGTCCCAAGAGATCTGGAACTAAAGCATTGAACAGAGAGAGCCTTACTGTTGTGCCACTTCTGTCAGTGGGAAAATTTTTAATGGTCATAGCAGAAGCTAAAATTTTTCCAAGTATACTTATTTACCTTGTGCAAGGAGAACAATTCCACTTATAACAATGATTGTGACAATGATCAATTTAGTAGCTGTGAGAAAATTCTGGAGATAGCTTCCCAGCTTCACACTCAGTGAATTCACGATTGTAATTATCACTAAAAGAAATAAATTTATGAATTTCTGCATCAAATTTGCTAGAATTTAAAGAAAAGTTGCCTTTTAAAACCTTCCCCCCCCCCCTTTATTTACTGTACTGCTTTTTCCTCCCATGGAAGAGAGGAGGTTTTTTAACATACTGTGTTTGGATAACTTCTAAAATAGTGAGGAAAAACAGTTTTTCTGAATTAGATTTTGATAGTACCTATAACAAAAAAAAATATATTGAAGTTACACAGCATTCTGGTAAATACAGAAATAATATTTCCACACTTTTCTTCCTTTTCTGCTAGGGGTATATATATATTACACAGCTGTATCTATCTTAATAAAGAATAAAAGAAACTTAGACCAAGAAAAAGCCATTTTTAAACCTATCCTTTTTGTATGTTGTTGAATTAGTTATTGTGGGAAGGACTTGCTGTACTGTGTTCCAAAGTTTTCTGTTGCTTTCAGCATAGGGCACTTCCTGGTGCCTCCATGAAGATTAACCTATGGAAGTCTCACTGTGGTGAAATGCATTCATTGGTGGGGCTAAACAGAAATCGCTACGCAACTATACATCTTGTCTCTTTTCCTTTAAAAGTATGAATCTTACCAATGGCAGCTGCTGCAAGACACTTGATGACAACTTGGGGTGGTTCGCAACCTGGATAAAAAGGAGCTGATGCATATTCCGCAAAGCTGAGACAAATGATTGCAAATGAACTGGGTTTTGTGACGAGTAAGCTTGTCCAAGAAAACAGAAATGCTGGAATTGGGCCAAATGCCTCCATAAGGTAAGGGTATTCTCCCCCAGATTTTGTGATCATTGTACCAAGCTCAGCAAAACAAAGTGCACCTGAATAACAAGAAAAACATTTATTGTTGGTTTAGTTCATACACTTCCTAAGCTATGACTGGCTAGAACAGGTTATCGCTTTTTAATAGGTAGAAAAGGTAAGGAAATGGATATATACAATGCATCATTACTCTTCTCATGCTTCTGCACATTTTACTGTATATGCAAAATAAAATTTTGATTACTTGTGAGCAATTGGGAAAAATAGACTGAAACTATTAAGTTACAGTCCAGAATTTACTACTCTTGGTGTTTAAGACTTTGGCAAACATTCTGATTTCGCATTGGATTTCTGTTTGAGAAACCAATGCTATAAGAAGCATAGAAGCATGCAAGAAGCATAAGAAGTGACAACTGCACTGGCTGACCTACCTTTTGGAAACCTGAGAAAAATAGACTTGAACAATTTTGAAGTAAAATGTCCACTAAGCTCAGCTTTAAAGTATAGTGGTACTTCTAGACTTATTGCTATAGGTAGCATCTTGCATACAAGTGTTTCGCATATGCTACATACCTGACATAATACCCAAAGAATTCCTTTTTGCTTTACTTCTTGAAATACTGAGATGCTTAGTGCTAAATTTCCAGGTAATAGAATTAGATTTACACAATTACACACGTAGAAAAATAGCAGAAGTGTGTAGCTCGCTGCCAGTAAATTTCACATTTTGCCTGTATTTTAAATGGAAAAGTATTCTCTTTATTACAGTTAGTGCGTGAAGTAAGCAAAACTAAAACTTGCTTTCAAAATGAGCTGAAAATGTGCTTTACAGTTTTAAAAACTTAATTTATATTTTATAAACAGCACATATTTTAAACTTTTGCCTGAGTACTGCTATACTCACCAGGATATGGTTGATTTTGGTCTAGGTGCTGCTGTTAGCCAATTTGTGAAATGAAAGTAGTATGCAGAAACAGCAGATGCAGAGATTTAAGCAAAGATTTGAATTCTTTGCTGACTCACTTACCTAATGTTGCAAGAATTCCGCAAGCTGCCCAGATGGTTAAACAAGGACCCACAGCTCCAACACTGGCAAGTACTGATTTTGGAGAAACAAAAATACCTGAGCCAATAATTGTACCAACAATCATACAGATTCCACTGATGAGGCCCACCTTGAAATAAGATGAGACATTTTGGTAAAGGAATTTCTAATAATTCAATCATTTTTTTCAGTATAATACAGTTATAGTAATTGTCATTAGTGAGTCTTTTTTCCTAGCTTTCAACATATAGTAATATATTAAACTCTGAAGTATCTCTTTTCTTTCTAAGATGCATACATGCTCTGTGGTGTACTCTTGCAGTTTCCAAAAGTACAGTTATTTGGAGTTCACTTGCCTGTGTATTTGCTTTATTAAACTGTCCTCTGGATTATGTGGGTCTCAAGTCTAACCTTGTACAGGTGAACATCCCCTTTCCAGTCTCTGATTAAACACTGAAATTCTTTTTTATGAGCACTTGAGGGATTTTTAATTTTCTAAGCTTCAAAAATTTGCCTTCTTGCATGGAGTCTGTTGTTCAGTAGTTGTTTTTGTTGCCTTGCTTCAGGTATCTGTGCACAGGAATTATCTTCATACTGCTGGGTGATTAAAAGATCATGTTCTCCTGACTTTGTAGTGATCTATGTATTACATGAAACTACTAAAACTTGAGGCATCTCCTGCTAAAAAAAACTCAATGGTATGGGCTACTTAAGTTTTCCTGTTCGTTATGGCTAGGGCTAGTCTAATAACATCAATATTTTTCCAGTCTTCACACCAAACTAAAACCACATAGAGAATCTTTTTCCAGATTACTTAAATTTTAAAGAGGAACTCCACTCCCTCCTGAGCACAAGTGGTATATCTGTTTTCTAAAGCATCCGTAGCTTTCTGGAGGAGACAAATTTTCACTTGTCTTTCTGTAGCAGTGGCTATTTTATGGCTATAAGCACTAACAAACGTTCAGAAGCAATGAGCTGAACAACCCAGTTCAGCCTGAGAACTCTATGTGGAAAGAAACAGTAAAGTTTATAAAGTGTCTCACTTGATCAACTTTGAAGTTATCAGATAGAAAAATAATTCAAATACTTAAAAAAAATATGTATTCTTGCTTTTTAATTGCATTCATAACAGAGCTATTTAACTAGTAATTTGCAGCTTCCTAAAATGTAAGCCAACCACACAATCAAGGCACTAGTACATCACTGCTAAATTGGGACATGGAGGCATGTGCACTGATCCCCCTGCTGCCAACCCCGCATATGCCCACAGACTGAGGATGAGAAGAAAGAGTTTTGCCTGCTTTTGTAGGTTCATTGTTTGGGGTTCGTGACTCTGAATAGATTGTCCATCCTCTTTTCCGTTGGCCTCTCCTTTTCTTTTCCTCAAGCTTTCTTCACCCATTTGGTTTACTTGTTGAAATCTTCAAGGAAATAAAACCAAAGATCAGTCTAGCGTTATTAACGTTTGCCTGAGTTTTACTGATACATACGAGTTCAAAATAGTGCAGTTAAATAGTGCCAGAAAACAAAGCCACAGACATTTGCTGACAGGCAAAGGACTTCCATCTACCTACCTATTCGGAGATTAAATCGAGAATGTGGTATGTCTACTTCACCTTATCCATCTGACTTGCTGTGGATTTCCCTCATACCTACCTGGCAGCGAATGTCTGTTTTCTGTCTCAGGTTACATTCAGCTGGGTTGTCCTTACAGGAACAGTCTAGGTTTTATAGCTTGTCCCTCCTTTGAATTCCTTCAGAGGTCCAGACAAATTGAATCTTTCTCCTAGTTTGTTTTCTTATCTAGGAGACCACCTTTGTGATCTTGGTTAAATTAGGCCTTGTCTCGGTTCCCTGGAGATGCAAGTATCTGCTAAACCAAGGGTTATCTGCTCTAATTGTCTAATTAGCAGCTCTTTGGCTAAAAAAAGAGTCGCCACTCTTCTCCATGTTGACTCAGGGTGAATGTCTTCCACTGAACCTTTTGTTTTCTTTAGAATTAGAATGTAAATAGTTCATTTTCAAATTTAAACTTAGACTTGTGATTTTTTTGGTGAGGATTTTCCTTGTCTTCCATAGTTTGAAATAAAATACAGCCTGAGGTAGTGAAGGAAGTTGATCATGTTAGGACCTGATTCTCAAAGTTGATTCTCTCCTCAAACCCTACAGCTGTAATTACTGGAATCTGTATGTTGAAGATCATTTTGCGGTTATACAGATGGTAAATCAGGAACGTGTCATGTTTAGGCAACTTAGCTAGTATCCAGTAATTTTTGACTACAAGAACAGTGACATTTTAAATTGACAGAACACCTATCTCAGTACTGCTGGTCTTCAAAAACATTTGGGCTATAAAGACATCTGGTTTATATTTTGAATTAAAGATTTTTTAAGAGAAATCGTCATGAATCCAAGTTTTAAGATTAAACCTACAATAGAAGGTTGCCCACATAAGGAATGCAGGGCTTGGGTCACTGAATTTTATTACAGCTTTGTGCCCAACTTCTCTTTTTGAAGTCATGTATTTAGAATGTTTTAATAATCGTCTTTCAGCAATTCATACTTTCACTTACCTTATTTATTTATCTTTGTTTGGTGTTAACCGGGTCCAGGAATCTTTAGTGTGTTTCTTTATTTCTCCCGTTAGATTTAACAGCCAGTTAGACGGCGAGGCATGTCCATGTCTGAAACCAGAATACGCAGAAGCAGCAGCAGCTTAAGTACAGAGGTTATAAAAGGTAATCATTAAACCCATTCTCAGCCAAGAAGCTTTGAGATAGGAACCACAGGTAAACCAATAGTCCAATTAGTTTATCTTTTAAAAAAAAAGTCTTTTCCATTTGTGAGAAAGTTTGTCCAGTACCTAAGTAGTATGCTACATAGTGAGAGTGAACCATAATTTGAAGAGTCTATTTTGATTTTTTATCAAGCAGTTTCTAATTTAGAAATGGTTTGAAAAGATAACCTTGAAGTAATTGTCATATTATGAGTGCATTAAAAACATCTGTGTAGGTGTTAACTTGCATCCTATAAAAATAGTTCATGTTTTTATCTTGAGAAGGTAGAGAAGTGCGAGCAGAAATTTTTCCTTTGTTTTTCATTAACCTGAAAGCAGCTGAATGGGCAGCTTGTGTTCCCTTCACTTGCAGTTCCAATTCATTTTTCATTTTTGTAAATATTTAAAAATATTGCCTTAGTGAAAAATGCCATTCTCTATTTCTACACAGTTATATATCCAGGAGAAAAGGTATTGTTAGTCCTGAATGCTGAAATAAGGTAGCTTCTTTCATTCCAGCTAGTCATCCCTAAAATACTTGCAAAAAAACCCCTTTTTTCACCTCATTGTTTGGGGAATGCAGTCGTACAGCTCCTTTTCTGTATGACATCCAAAGCAGTAAGTCCTGATCAGCCTGACCTAACTTCAGCTGACTTTTTTCAATAAACATTTACTGTTAAAAGATGTACTAGTATTAGTCACTGATGTTAAGAGTTGTTACCTTGTTAAGACAATGTCTCATGAGCAATAGTAGTACAGGATTGGAAATAAGACCAAATTGTTGGACCCAAGTATCAACAAAACTGTATCCTGACACGATTTTACAGGTTTTTTTTTTAACCGTCTGCTTAAGCATGCAGGCTTGATCAACTGGAATTCCCATCTTTTGTAATGTTGATGTAAATCTGTGACTAAAAATGGCCTCTGAGAAAACGCAAAACAGACTTACGTTGGTTTATATTTGCCATGTTTTGTGATGGTTGAGCCAGACTCTGTGCTGTGAGTGTCTTTCTCCAAGACTGAGATTGCAAAGTAATGTCAGTCCTGAAAACAAAACCAAAGCTGTATTGTTTTACTCACTGTCTTACTTTTTCCTCTTGTTTTTCTTGTTTAATTCTCACAGAAATAGAGTTAAGCTTCAAGAGAAGCTCTTCCATCTTAACTAGCTTCTTGTTCAAAAATTGCTATCTGAATAATGGTCAGATAAAATTTCTTTTTTTTTCCTACAGATAAAAGAGAATAAAGAATGTTTAAAATTATAGTCTTAAAGCATACAAAAAGACAGATATCAACAACTTAATCCTTTTTTCTGCATCTTTTAGAAAGACTTTAAAATATTTTTCATGGTAACTGTGATGTAGGATTAAACAAACTCATGTTTTTATATCCATCAATTGCAGATGCCTTATTTGGGATCAGATATTATGTAATGTACTTCTAAGCTCTCTATAGCTGATAATTTTGAAATTAAGATTTATAATCTTATTCCTATGTTTTTCCTGAAATGCCACAGAGGCTATTGAAATAGCTAATGTGAAAAGAAAAAAGAAAGGAGGGGAAATCCATAATGTGGTGCTAACTTTGTCCTTCAAAATGAAGTAGACGCACCTTTCACATCATCTCTACACTGGAATTTCCAGACCAACCAAAAAAAGGGAAAAAACTTACATAATTTTGATGAAAAGATAATGGAGCATGTCATCTTTAATTCCATAGTAAGTAAAGCTTTGCTTAGGAATTTTTTTAGATTTAGTGTAGGTAATCTTTTGAATTTTTGTGCAGATGTATGTTCTATGTGTTTCCTGATGTTTTCAGATGTCTTTTCTTTCTGCATCAGATCCATACTCTGCTTTTGTTACTTCAGATATAATAAAGGCAACATTGAAAACTTGTTTTGAGTTTTTGCCTAAGCAGCTAGTTTCTTTGATCAACCTGGAATGTGTATTTGGAGAGTTCCCATCTATTCAATAGGTGTCTTAAATCTCTGCCAGTGACTTGACCTTAACTAGCCTGTGTTTCCTTATAAAAAACGAAAAGTATCTTCATTTATGGTTTAGTTTTGGTTTAGGGGTTAATCTTCTTGGGATGCTATAAACTTGTTAAAGGATTTGCAGTTTTACCAGCAATCCTTTTCCTCAGCCAATTAAGGAAAAAATAAACATTGAGTTCAAGGATTCTACTGCTATTTTCTTCATGGGCAAGAGAAATGGCATTTTACAGCCATGGGAAAAGACTCCTTCCCTCTCAAATACATACATAGGTGAAGAGATCAAGGAGTTCAAATTCCAAGGGGCTGCAGAAGCAAACACTCTGTGGGCTGGTCCTGTCTAAACAGTGTAGTTTGAACCTTTTCAAATGCTATTTACCAATTAAATTGTAAAAAGAATTTTTCAACTTTAATTCGAGAAACAGCAAGGGCAGAGTATATAAATACACCTTTTATTATCATTAGTCACTAATAATAAAGGTTAATGTTTGTTGGGGTTGGTATTTATTGCTTGTAGTAATGCACATGTTCTGCTTTGATCAACACTTAAGCAAATGGTTAAGGATCATTCTAACCAGCAGATTGTAATTGTAGCTTAGCAGTATCTTGGAATGGGTACTTTCCATTGTAACTTTGCTGCTTAACAGGTTACTTAGTTTTAATCAGAGAACCGGTTTGTTTACTTCCACTTGCTCTTCTTTGAATCCTACCGTTAATAGATGCACTGTAAGAAGTGATCTCACTACTGTCATCCTTAAATGCATTTTAATTTTTTTCTGAGTAATTGCAGGCATGCTGCAAGTGGAATATATGAAAACAGATTAAGAGCTGTGTCCATGCTGGGTTATGCTACTGGATTGCAAGATCTTTGCATCTTGTGGGAGTCAGTAGGAAAGATTATATACTATAGGCATTAAGAACTATAGTAATCTATGAGTTTTAAATACCTGTAATTTTTTTCCCTACTTAGTTCTTGGTTACAGGGTACTTGTGTTTGCCCTTGTGACAAATAAGGCTGTTGAAAAGATCTCCAGGTTTGCTAAAGGTTTTGCACTAGACCTGCCTGAATAGTGCACGTTTTTTGTTAAGGCAAAGTTGGGGTGGGTTTCTTGTATTATGTTTTTTTAAGCACAGCTGTTCAGAGACTCTTCATAAACTTGTAAATGCTGGTATGTCATTCTATCCAAAAGATCAAGGAGTCTCGTCTTAAGGATATTCTAAAGGAATTCTGACAGCATTTGAAGAAAATTAGCTTGAGTATATTGAATTAGTGTTTTTTCAGAGCTTTCAGGAGCTAGAGTTTCTAACAGTGTTTCAGAACCTGATCAGGATTAGTGATTTCTCTAATACACAGCCAGCTCCTCTTCTTTTACCATTTGAGGAACAAGCGCCTCCCTTTGATCTTCTTTTTGAGTCCAAAATTCAGATTGCATTCCACTGGTGTTTCATGAAGGAGGGATTACCAGGCAACATTGGCTTTGGAAGATGGCATCTTTAGCATGCCCGTTTCTAGCTGGGGAAGGAAAGCAGTGAATACTGAAGCACTCGGTACAGGTTATGATGCTCTGTGCTACCTACTTTTGAAGTCTTGGTTTAATTTTAAATTTATCAAAACAGAAGTTGGTTTACGTATCACAAGTTCTAAGTACTACAACATGGTATCTTTATATATTTCTTATCTGAATACAGATATGTTGAAATTAACTTAGTACAGGAAAAAATTGAGAGCTAAAAATATCTGGAGATCTCACTCACTGACAAACGACATTTTTAAAGGTAAAGCAGCCTTCAAGGTGTATCTGCTCTTCTAGATTCAAGCTGATTGGCGCTGTAGAATTTTTACCATATTTATTTAGATTGTATTTGCTGAGTAGGATGAGTGCTCAGAGCTCTCTTAAATGGAAGAACTGTGCCTGGCCAGCCAAAGATTTGTAGTCCCAGAGGAAAAGCTCTTGGAACTCCTGATGCAATGTGCCAGTATAGTGGCAAGAATTTTTCATGGGGAAAAGTCTTAGGAGGAGGCTGTCTCTTCTGAGCTGTTGAAGAGCAATGTTCTGGCTAGAAAGATACCATCTTTCTGGCTTAAAGATAGAGGAAGGGGAAAAAAAAAAACAGCGGGGGTTTAAATTACTTGTAAATGGCAAGGGGGAAATTTTCTAATAGGTTAAGAATTGGAAAATGAATGACCCCAGTTCACAGAACATTAGAACATACTTACCTTCATGTGTCTGTTGAGTGTCAGAATCTCCCTGGTATTTACACAACTGAGGCAGAGAGTATGTGATACTCTGCTCTGATGACACAGTAAGAAGTAATGCCAAGATATTTTAACAGTAGTTGGAGAATGCATTGCAACTGCTGAGGTTTACTGCAGACTCTCCAGTGATTTGTTTTGGTTTTGGAAAGGTGGTGGCAGTGTTTGCGTTTTGAATTTATAATCACATTCTTTCATCCAAATGTTTTTCTTGGGAAACTTGTGTTCAGTTATTACAGACAGAATATGCTGTCTAAATTTAATGTGACGACAGTTCCACAAATTCTGAATTGTTTTCTCAGCTTCTTGAAAGAAGTTGAAGAATGCTCCATGTTTTTCTGTTGTTTTGTGAAAGGGAGCTGAAGTTACTTCATTGGTTCAAGTTAGACTGAAAGATACTGTAAATGGAAGAAATGTGCGGTATATCAGAATCAGTATGCTCTGTCAGCAGTGGTTGAGGTAAAATAGTAAGTTGGAAGGGCTTTTATTGGTGACTGTCTTTATAGTCTGACCAGCAAATTGTGGCGGCAAGGTCTAAAAAATAGATTTAAAAAAAAACTTGTAATAGAGTAGATGAAGTACTAATTGAAAAACTTAGAAGCAGTGGCTCACTGTCAGGCTGGAAAAAGGTTTGTTCTGCAGGAGTGTGTCCTGGGGCTGTTCAGTGG